TCGACGACGCGACACCATCCCGCGAACAAACAACCGATTTCTAACTGCCTCGCGTCCTTCCGGGACACTGCTCCTCTGCCATCCGCCATCTCCTATTACCCTTGTCGCTGATAAATATCGCATGTATCGTCCGTCCATCTATTCCAATCGTACAGCGGAGACTGCTAAATGGCTAAAAGGATTATACGATCGTAATCCAAAATTATGAAATCCAGCCCAGTAGAGATTTTCCTCGCTCTACGTTCGTTCCGCTTGCACCGGCTTAACGGCTATAATTCTTTCGAATACGTAAGATCGACGCAGGATTTATATTTACCGCGAGACCATCGATTCGCGTTTTACGTCGTGTCGTTCGCGTCGAAATACAAATACACCGCTGAAATGGTAGCGGTTCCTTCCATCTGTATCCCGGTCCCAATAAGGTGAAAACGCCATGGCTTCGACAATCTGATTTTCCAAACGTTCGCTCGGTCGATAAGCACTTTCCAGTCGCAAGAAACGCGGCTAGAATGCTCTGCACCCAATTGTTTCGATAAATTTTTCCGCGTACCTCTCGACGATATCTAACGACGACTTTAAGTTCCAGAGGATCACTAAAAAAGATATTTTATATTTATCGTCGAGCAGTAACGTTTTATGCGTGCATGGGACCGTTGCTGAAGAACGCGATCGATTTTCGTGTTTACAGCTTCGCACCGCGAGTGAGAAACGCGATCTTGATTTCCCGAAAGATCGCATTAGGCGGTTCGAACGTTCAAGCTTCACTGGCAGAAATGAAATTGGAATTGTAATGAAAGAGGTGGGAACGGGGAGAAAGCGGTGATTCGTTGACTCGAACTCGAGCGACTCCCATAATGCTAAACACATCTACAGATTAAGCGTTAAACGATTCGCACGCTCTTAATGAGTCGAGCATTAATTCACAGCGTGAAAAATCTAACGACCAATGTCGTAATAGCGAACGTAAATACAGGTATTCGGTCAGAAATGTATCCATTGTGGTAGCGGGAATTCGAACAAATTGTTGCCGGTGCACTTCACTTAGCAAAACCGTCAAAGGGGTGGTTACAACAATGCACGTCGGTGCAGATATAAAACGGGGAACGATGATGGATCCGGTCGCGAAACAAAAGGAACGAATTAAAGTGCGCGCACGATGAAAGGTCAGTAAATTAAAATGTATGAAGAGAGAACGTATCGACAGCGTGAACGACGATGAAACAACGATAACTCGATGATTGTGGTGAACAGAACGTACGGTGTATTACTGACCGTGATCGAACGTAACGATTAAATCGAAATTAATACGTTCGAGGGCCGAATTCGATTGCACGTGAAGATATTTTTGCGACGGCAAAATTTCATTCTCTCGAATTCACCTTCTTTGCGAAACACGCCGAGAATTCTTCGCCGATGTTACGTTCCCTTTTCTCCTCGATCGATCCGCCCGAAAATTCATTACGAAAATTCATCCTCCACCGAATACGGAGAGCAATATTCGCCGACTCGAAAAAAAAAACGGTCAACGAACACGTAGAAATCGAAAGATTTAAACGCGACGTTTTTTCGTTTCCCGGATTCGCTGGTGACAGCGGTTTTTTAAATTTAAAAAAACTGTCATCCACAACGCGTTCCATCGACGCGCGTTTCTGACGAACGAGGACCGACCGAGTCGATCCTCGCCTTCGTGTAGCCTGTTAGGTTAACCGAGAACCGGCGAATACATCGACAACGATACCATTTCTGTTATCGATAGAACGAACCTTAAACCACGACCAAGCGACGCGTAGTTGAAAGCCGAGGGAAGATGAGAGGGAGATTCACGGTCGCAGGTAGCTGTACGTTCTCGGCGTCACCTTCGTTATCCAGATCGTCGCTTCAATTGTTAATCGGCCACTCGCGACGGCGTGCTTCGAACTTCATGTTCGTAGCTACGAACCGCATTCCATCCCGAAACCAGTATAGCCAGCTATAGCGCCGCAAGCACGATCCAGAGAACGCTTTATGGCTTTCATTAAAGCTCACGGAGCCGGTATAAGGACATATGTCCCCGGGGGAATGGCGCACGGTTATAAGGAGGCTGTAGCTGTGGCGCACAGAGGTTCATAGACGCGGTCGCACGATTTCTCGTTCACCGTCGTTGAGCATACGCAATGTTTACACGAGCGAACAGCCACCTCGATGCTCTTGCCCGGCAATGAATCCGCATTACGAGGCTGCCCGGCGCATTAAACTATAACGACTGCGAGGACATTCGGTGGACCATAGCCAGCCAGCTGGACAGCGACCATGCGTGTCGCCTGATCTTCCTGTCATCTACACTCCGACGATTTCAACGATTGAATTCGTCGTGCCAACGTGACTCCAACTCTCATTTTCTAGTTCAGATTCCGGGGGAAAAGTTACGCTGATTTTTCGACCGTATTAAAAATCAAACGATACGAGGAAAGAATAACGAGATGGTTCGTGTCGTAGCTGAGAAATAGTTGCGAGAGTAAAGAAAGGAATTGGCGACGGAATTCAAGACGAGAAAGAGGCAAGAAGGCGGATCAGCGAGGCAAGATCGGCGTATGTGCCGCGAAGTACAACTTGAAAATTGATCCCGAAGGCAGTCTCGTTGGCCTTGATCAAGAATCGACGAGCTATTGACGAATTCACCCCGAGAGAACGAGCCGGCATCTAGCCTACTGGTTACTCGGGTCAACGGTAATGCGATAGAGTTACGCGGCTACGGTATATGCCTTGGCCACCCTATTATATCGGTCTGGAACCCTTTGGGAAATTGTCTATGGCGCCAGGCTGGGCCTCGATCAACCGTGAAATGTAGTCTGATACGTATTACCGTGGCGAGGCTATCGTTCCGTTATGCACTTGGATACCACGTTGCCGACCGATCGAACACCGTTCCGATCCAGCCCTACAAACCGAGATCTCGATCTTGCGGATCCAGTGCTCGCGATATAATCCCGACGAGAGGATACCACGCGCGACCTGGTAGTCATGTACTTTTTGGCTAATTGATATCGCTTAAGCCACGAATTGGGCTAATTGCAAGGTTAAGCTCCGTGCGTACGCGAAGCACCACTTAATTATCAACGAGTATACGGCCACGAGATTCATTGGTCGTTTCATGGAGATTCGCGAAATATCGAGATCACTTTTCGCGAAACGTAGCGAAACACTATCTCGTTGGTCCGGACACTTTGTCGATCGGACTCTTCCCAACGCTGCTGGATTTTAACGCGAACTTTGACATCGGTACACGTCGTTAAAGCAATTCCCGAGAGTTGTAGCAACTTTACCGTGAAGAAATTTATCGTTTTAGGGCCGTCTGGCAACGGACCGTTTACCACCGACTCTCTGGTCAAATTTCCATCGTTACAACGTCTACTGACCAGAGGACGCTCGAGGATCGTTTCGAGCGCGAGAATACTCTCGAAATATCGTACGCCTCGGTTCGCCTTCGTCGTTTCCACCAGCGGGAGACCGCGGCCGAACGTAACCAGACGAACGAGCGGAAAGGTTTTCTCTTTCTTGTCGCGAAAGTCCTTCTAGAGGCGATCTCCCTACGAAATCATCCTCGAAGGAGCTTTATCAGGAATGCAGCATCTTTCAACGGACCCATATAACGGCGTTATACCAGCATTAAGAGAGATAAGTGAAGCGAGAATGATTCACGAGGGACGGAAATAGAACTATGACCGTTTCTCGACCCCGTGCTAGCTCTCGTGTTCGCTCTTCTCGAGGGTCGACCAAGAGCCCTAAAGAGCCCGTAAGACGACCGCC